TCGTCTATTATACTTTGTGACAATTGAAAAAGACCATATTCAGTATTAACTATACTCCACATACTCTTATAGTTTGTTGTATAAAATAATTGAATACATACATCTATGATCAAATGATTTTCAACAAAGGTGCTAAGACAATTCAAGGGGAAAAGAGTATTTTCTTTAACAAATGAAGCTGGGAGTAGATGTCACAAGACAGAATGAAGTTTGATCACTTCACCATACTGTACATAAAAATTAACTCAGAATAGATCAATGACCTAAATATAAAAGCTATAAAACTCTTACAAGAAAATATAAGCATACATCTTCATAACTCTGGATTAGGCAATGATTTTTAGCCATGACACCAAAATCACAAGTAACAAAATAAAAAACTTCTGTACTCAAGAAAGTAAACAGACAGTCTACAAAATGGGAGAAAGTATTTGCAAATCATACATCTCATAAAGTACTTCTATTTATGCTATATAAAGAACTCTTACAATTCAATAATAAAAAAGACAAAAAACACAGAGTAGGAGGGGAAAAGGAAGGTGTGGCTAACAGCTTCCATAAACAACTGCCTCCTATGCCATGAGATCAAAAGAATTGGATGGTGCCTGGCAACCATTAATGACCATTTTGATCAAAGATTCCATAGAAGAATCCTGGTCAAATGGAGGAAAATGAAGAACAGATTTTCAAATTCTCATAATCTCCAGACTTTCTGGAGCTATGGAGGCTAGATGAACCCCTTGAAACTACTGCCCTGAGATAATCTGTAAATCTTAAACCAAAAATATTCCCTGATATTTTCTTAAAACCAAGTAATACTTTAACTTAACTAGTAAACAATGTCTTCCTTCTATGAGACCAGAAGAACTAGATGGTGCCCAGCTACCACTGTCAACCACTCAAGATCCTGGATAGAATGGGAGAACAATGTGGAACAAAACTGAAAATCATTTAAAAAAAAAAAAAAAAGGGGGTATCAGGGGCATCAGGTTTGCTTGTCTTATAAAGCCTGGTGGAACCCCTGAGACTATGGCCCCTAGCTGCCCTTCAGGTCTAGAATTGAACCCCACTGTATTCACTCCTGAGGCTTACAGACAAACAACAGATAGGCATATGAGCTGAACATTTACATTGGGTAGATACACTTCTTGGAGAGATCAATCATGGGAGAATTTAAGGGCTGTATATGCACAGGGAGACAGCTCGGTGGGTGGGAGGGAAAGACACGGGGATGAGTTGGCTACGGGAAAGAAGTGGGAAGAGAGCTGTTACACTGTGGGCAGACTGCAGTCAATGTCATGAGACAAAGTGTATGTGAACTGCTATACGGAAGATGAATTTGCTCTGTAAACTTTC